GGAGCGGAAGCTGCAGGAGGTTCACCCTCTGCTGACCCTGTGCGGGCAGATCGTGAGAACTGGCAGGGCAACCCCATCCAGAAGGAGTCCCTGCGCGTCTTCTTCCTGGTCCTGCAGGTCACACTCTACCTGGATGCTGGGCAGGTAGGTGGGAGATGCCAGGGGAACGCTGGGAAGAGCAGCACTGCCTCCACAAACACCTCTGGGGGGGGGTTTTTGGGGAACAAACCCGAATTTCTGTAGGTTTTCGTCACGAGCGAAACGAGGGGGGAAACTCCTTGAATTTCTTCCTCGAGGGGAGGTTTCCTGGGATGTTTTTGTGCTCTCTGGCCTCTCTTCCTTCCACGTTGTGCTGCTGGGGGGGTAACACCCACCAGCCAAAAAACTGTAATTTTGGGGAACGCTTTGCTCAGGTTTTCACCCACAAATGGCAGAGTGTTGTTCACCCTGGAACGGGCCCTGTTACACTTTGGGCACGAAGCAATTCCCTGGCTTGGGGAGGAGTGTATTATTTGTTACCTGGGAGGTTTTCCCAGCCGGAATGGTGCCTCTGGAATGTGTGGCTTGCCAGGTGAAGAGCGTGAAGCCCTGCCTGAAGCAGCTCCAGCAGTGCATCCAGACCATCTCCACGCTCCACGACGACGAGATCCTGCCCAGCAACCCCGCTGACCTCTTCCACTGGCTGCCCAAGGAGCACATGTGTGTGCTGGTCTACCTGGTGAGAGCTCTGGTCGCTAATTAGTTGCTAATTAACAAGGGGTTGGGTAGAAACTGCTGGGGTGGATCTTGGCTGCTTCGTGCTGCACCAGCAGCTGGATCCTGCCACGGCACCCCTGGCACCACCAGTGTGAGAAAAGGGGGGAAAGAAGCCCAGAAACTGAAATTAAACTCTGTTAATATCCAACTCAAAGAAAAGTGGGTTAATTTGTGTGAAGAGGAGCCACCTTGGCTCAGTTTTTACCAGTGTTGTGACAGTTGGACCCCAGGTCTCTGGAACTGGTCGTTCCACTTCTTGGATGTGACTCAAAATCCTAAATGTTGGCAAGGGTGAGCTAAAAAAGCTCAGTTGTGGGGACTCCCAGGCCTCGTGGGAACTGCCAGCCCTTCCCTCTTGGCACAGAGGAGGTTTTAGATAATCCTGGAACGGTTTGGGTTGGAAGGACCTTAAAGCTCATCCAGTGCCACCCCCTGCCCGGGCAGGGACCCCTCCCGCTGTCCCAGGCTGCTCCAGCCTGCCCTTGGACACTCCCAGGGACTGGGACGTGCCCAGTTTGTCTGGGAATGCCATCCCAGTGCTCCTGGGAGGCTGAGGAAGGTGAGTGAGCCGTGCTGTGTCTCCCTGCAGGTGACAGTGATGCATTCCATGCAGGCAGGGTACCTGGAGAAGGCCCAGAAGTACACAGACAAAGCCCTCATGCAGCTGGAGAAGCTAAAAAGTAAGGAGAAGGCTTGGAATTCAGCTGATGCTGCAAAATTCTACTATTTGTTGCTAATTTAAACCAAACACGGCCTTTTTTTGGCTCCCTGGGCAGTCAAAGACCAGTCTGAGACTTTTGTTCTTTTTTAAGGCTGGGTGGTTGCTTTAAATACAGAAATACTACTGAGAATAACAACTGTTCCCACTGTTTGTTCCCAGTTTGTTTCACTGCTTCCACTCTTATTCTTTTAGCTGATTGCTTTGAGTACAAAAATTACTAGTTTGTTTATTGTTAGCAATAATATTGTTAATAAGATTTTTACTGTTAAAACATCGAGTTTTGGGGGGTTTTGCTGTGACTCAGTGAACTGGGTTGTAAATTCCTGAGGTAACTCCACTTGCTGTGCTCCCTTCCCTCCCTCTCCAGTGCTGGACTGCAGCCCCATCCTGTCCTCATTCCAAGTGATTTTGTTGGAACACATCATCATGTGCCGGCTGGTCACGGGACACAAAGCCACAGCCCTGCAGGAGGTGAGGGTGGGGTGGGATTCCAGCACTCCCTGGGATGGGGTGGGATTCCAGCACTCCCTGGGATGGGGTGGGATTCCAGCACTCCCTGGGATGGGGTGGGATTCCAGCACTCCCTGGGATGGGGTGGGATTCCAGCACTCCCTGGGATGGGGATGGACACAGGGATGGCCTTTAAAACGTGGGAATTTCAGTTTGGGGGGAGATGTTTGGGCTCAGGCGGGAATTCCTCCTGAGTTACTGATGGATGCAGCCAGGATGGAGGGAGCTCAGGAGCTGTGGGATTGGCTCCTCTGCAGTATTTCCAGGACACTTTGGAGTTGAACAGTGATGGTGCAGCTGACACCCTCCTGCTGCATTTACAGCCTGGCTCGGGTGTCTTTCCCCTTCCCAGAGTGGCTCCTTCCCCTTCCTTGTCCGAGCATTTCCCAGCTTTCAGACCTTTCTGTCCTTTCCTCCTACACAGTGGAAGGAGAGCAAGGGAGGGTTTGTGTTGGTTGGTGCGAGACAGGGCTGAGCCTTTTCCCATTTTTCCAGTCATTTTCAAATCCTGCTCATCCACCCCGTGTTTAGGGGAGGTGCTGGATCATCCCAAGCAGGGAGGTTCAGAACTGGTCGTTGCTCCTGGCCCGTTCCCTGGAATATATTATCCCAGTTTTTCTGCAGAATTTCGGGTCTGGGGTCTGTCAGGAGGGATCTGTGACTTGGTTTGCAGGTGGTGGAGCTGCTGGAGCCAACCATTCCGAAGCAGTTGGGGTGTGGGGCAGTGCCTGTCCCTGGGCTGGGGGCACATCCAGCCTCCAGCTTCTACCCAGGAGCGTGATTTGGGATCCTTGGGATAATCACTGAAACCTGGACACACGTGGGGGGGGAGGGGATGGATTTGGAGCAGGAAACGGAGAAAAAGTGTCCTGAAATGTGACTCCCTGTGCTTGTCCCAGATCTCCCAGGTGTGCCAGCTGTGCCAGCAGTCACCCAGGCTCTTCTCCAACCACGCTGCCCAGCTCCACACGCTCCTGGTGAGTGCCTGGAATTAGCCCTGGGAGCTCCTGGGAGCACCAGATCCCGCTCTCCTGCTCATCCCCGGGAACTCAGGGCAGGCAGGGAGTGGAGGAGCAGGAATCCTTTCCTGTGGGGACTCACCCTGGTGGGATTCCCACCTGTCAGAGGCTTTTAAAACCCTTTGGAAATAAGTGTTGGGGAATCCTGGAGTGGGTTTGGGTTGGAAGGACCTTAAATCCCATCCCATCCTGTCCCATCCCATCCCATCCCACCTCCCCCTATCCCAGGTTGCTCCAGCCTGGCCTTGGACACTTCCAGGGATGGGGAATCCACAGGTTTTCTGGAAAAAGATTTGTGTTGGATTTTGTACCACAAATAGTCAAGGGGGTAAATTCAGGAGGTTTAAAACAGCTGGAGATGTTTTTTTATGGGAATTGTCACGTAGGAAATGTTGAGCATTGCGTGACATTTGTGAAGGTTTCCTCAGCTAAATAAAGCTTTTTTTACGTGAATGAACTTATTTTAAAGGGCTTTCTGTAAGAATTCCTTATTTTTCCCAGAGCCAAGCAGATCCAGGGCTCGTTGGTTGCTTTTCCCTGGCGATATCCCGGGATTTCTGTGGGTTTGGGGGGTGCCTTTCTTCACTGTGAGGATCATAATTTACATTTCTTCTCCTCCAGGGCCTCTACTGCATCTCTGTTAACTGCATGGACAATGCAGAAGCACAATTCACTACAGCACTGAGGGTGAGATTTCTGCTTCCAGGCTTTCCTGTGGATGCTCCAGGTGGGAGTGGGGCTGTTGGAATTGTGTGGGAACGGCGAGGTCGGAAGGGAAACCTGGCAATAACCTGTACTGAGCTTCACTGCTCTGTTAATTTTTCCTGTGCTTCCAGCCTGGAGGGTTTTATGGCATCGCAACATCAGGCATAAAATGTGGGGGTTTTATGGGATGAGCAGATGCCAGGGGAGGCTCTGGAATACATGGAATATGTGACTGTGCTGTTGTTGTTCTGCCCCTCCCAGCTCACGACACATCAGGAGCTCTGGGCATTCATTGTCACCAACTTGGCCAGCGTGTACATCCGGGAGGGCAACAGGCACCAGGAGGTAAACGGGCCCTGCCTGCCCCCAGAACCCCCTTCCCTGCAGGGAAAACACCTCCTGGCCTTGGAATTCTGCTTTTCCCTGGGTGTTTTTGCAGTGGGAACCTTGTCTGGCACAGCAGCTCCTTCAGCAGGCAGTGGGAGAGGAATCAGCTGGGTCAGAGTGTTGTGGGTCAGGGTGTTGTGGGTCAGTGTTGTGGGTCAGGGTGTTGTGGGTCAGTGTTGTGGGTCAGGGTGTTGTGGGTCAGT